AGAGGCCTCCAAGAGACCCCAATAGGCTTACCAGACGCCCAAAGAAACCTCCCAGACGCCCCAAGAGACCTCGGAGTGGCCTCCAAAGAAAGCCCCAAGAGCCCAAAATCGTTGTTTTTCATTGGTTTCTCGATGGTTTTGGCATTTTCGCCTGTTCGGCTTGCCGACGCTCCAACGCTCCAAGATCGCCCAAAGAGCTCCCAAGACCGCTCCCAGACGCCCAAACACCTTCCACGACGCCCCCAAGACGGCCCAAGAGAACCCCCAGACGGCCCAAAGAGAGCTCCCAGACGGCCCAAGGCCCGCACAAGACGGCCCAAGAGGCTCTTTGACGCCTCCCAAACGGCCCAAGAGGCCTCCAAGACGCCCCAAGAGGCCGCCTAGACGCCCCAAGAGACCTCCAAAAAGCCCCAAAAGGCCTCCAAGACCCCCCAAGATACCTCCAAGATGTCTCAAAAGACCTCCAAGAGGCCTCCAAAGAGGGCGCCAAGAGGCAAACATCGCTGATTTTCATTCGGTTTGCAATGTTTTTTTTGCATTTTCGCCTTTTCGGCTTTCCGACGCTCCAACACCGCCCAAAAACTCCCAAGACAGCTCCAAGACAACCCAAGAGGCCTTCCACGACGCCCCCAGAACGGCCCAGAAGGGCCTAGACGGCCCAACAGAGCTCCCAGACTGCCCAAGAGCCGCCCGAGACAACCCAAGAAGCTCCCGACGCAAGCCCATGAAAGGCTCCTGACGGAGACCACGAACTGAAAAATCCAGCCTTCCGCCCCAAGGGGCGCCGTGACGCCCGGCTCGTAACAGATTCCGCACACCGCCCGCTTACTTTCAGACTTCCGGTGGTGCTCCTCTTGATTCGTTGACAAGTGCTCCGTCGCCCAGAAGATTTTGCCACAACCAGGAGCGCAACGCGTAAACGCCTGCGCCCCCGCTTCTGCTTTTCTCTTGCGGTTCGCCGCCTCTTCATGTGTGCTCCGCGCTGCCTTCTCTGTGGCCTCCGCGCATCCCCGACGCAGCCTCTCCCCGGACGCGCGACGTCTCTTCTGCGCTTCTGACATGTCCGCCTTCTCGTCGAAAAGCGACAGGCACGTTTAGTTCGAACACCGCGCCGTGCACTTTTGTTTCCCTCCACATTGCGTTCCCATTGCGCGACATGCGTTTCGCTGTGATGTCCTTGCACTTCGCGCAGTACATGGTCCTACCCTTTTTTGTTTCCTCTGCTTCGTCCAATTCCGCGATGCCCCTGTCGCCATCGCACAGCGCGACGTCGTCTCGCTCCGCTGCGGTTGCCCATGTATTGCATGTTTTGCACCACTTCTCGTTTGCGCTAGTCATTTCCACCAAGCATTCTTTGCAGAAGGCCGCTCTCTTCCCAGGTACATGACGTACTTGACACGGACTAGGTCCGGGTCCATGAGTTCCCACAGTCGGTACTGCACCGTGTCCATGTCTGCGCTCGCCGCTCTCTCGTCCGCTCTGCTCGTTCTCACCAGAGCGCGCGCGGCACCGTGCCCGCCGCACGGGCATTCGAGCCTATCGCATCTCGGAAGCCATACGCTCGCCACGCGCAGAATAAAACTCCGCTCTTCGTCAACACTATACACCGAAGGATCGCAGAGGCCCGCGCCCGCCGCCACCGCATCAGGGCCTCGCCGCGCTTTTCCCGCAAGGTTCGCAAAAGCACCCGCGCGCAGTTTGTTGTGATCCACTTCGTCGACTGAAGACTTCTCCATCGCTGCGGCATTCGGCGTTCGCAGTCCGATGTCGCGTGCCGCGGCCCCTACGGAGTCCCGAGCTCCATCACACGGCGTAGCATTCTTCTGCACCATGAGCTTGTCCAGCGTCGTGTCGCGCGGCAGTGGCCGCGCAATCTCTGGCGGCGCCCCGCCCTTCGGTAATTGTTCCGCTTCCTGTTCCATGGCTTCCAGGTCTACATGTGCGTAAACCCGAAAGCCTCGTTTTTTTCCCATCATTTTGCTGTGTAGCTTAACTGCATCTCGCCGAACGTTCGCTTGATGTATGAATCGAGGCAGACTGTCTTTCGTAGTCGCGTCTTTAATTTCCAACAGAATCTGAACAACGGATCCCAACTTTCCCCCTACATGAGGAACTGTTGATTCGTTCCCACGCCGCTCTTCTTTTTCAACCTGCCGCAGCTCCTGGAGCGTCCCTTGCCACGGCAACATGACGCTCGTCGCGTTTCCCCGCGCCGCCAACCAGCCGTCGTGAAAGCCCACCGCGCTGTCACATAATTCCTCCTTCCGCGGCTTTTCCTCCGCGTCGCTCTGACATTTCACCTCCGACGAAAAACAGATCATCCACGTGATACAGGGCCTGCACAATTCATCTCCATGACTGTCATGCCTTCGGTGTGCATGCGATCTGGCGCATAGAACGTCATCGAGTCATTCGCAAGACTCCACCGTGGGACTGACCGAAGAGTTGCCGGCCCGCGAGATCTTGACTGTTCCATGTCTGTTTTGCATTCGACGCATATTGGCACCCAGCAGTCAGCAGAAGCAGACCACCTACCTTCACACCCATTCACGCACTCCTGGTCTTCCGGGCAACACAACATGTTCACGTCGCCGTTGGCCGTTGGAAGTGTCACGAACCAATTATCGAACTCTCCATTCTCCCATGCACGCTCTAAGTCCAGCGCCGGGTTGCCAGGCTCCGACCCATAATCCCTCAGGTATGCTTCTACGCTCATGCGCGCTCGCACCTCTGCAATGGTCCACGCTCCGACCTCGCTCACTGTCGCATGGTCTCCAGTGCTGGTCTTGAACACTCGCTCCCAGTCGATTTGATTATCGCGCCGACCCCGCGCCCATGGAAACGTGCACGCGCAAATGAAACGTATCGGGGATGCTCTGTTCTTCCGCGCCGCCCCCTTCGCGTACTGTTTGAAGCTTCGCCTGTGGAGGGAATGTGCGGACAATGGCGCACCCTTTCGACTGGCGCTTCCGACGATCTCGTGGTGCGCTGCCTCCACTCGGAGCCTTTCCTCCTCGCCCAAGGGATTCACAATCTCGGCGATGGGCAGCGCGATATCCCAATGTTCCTCGGCCACGTGTTCATGCAACTCGTCGACAACTTCCAAGCGCCAAGTACACGCGGAGAACGCGCAATGGACCCTTTGCAATTCGACGGCCATGTCCTCTGCCAACGCCTTCGCCCACGGTTGCGATGGATCTTGCGGGTCTGCGGGCGCTGTCGAGTGACGTCGCACACGCGCAGCGGCGGCGGCCACGAGACGCTCTCGGGCTCGGTGAAGATCTGTCGACGCCGCGTCTACCCGGACTTGATAAAAGGCCTCTTGCATCGAATCCGCAACGGGCAAAGTGCCTTCTGAATTCGTCGTCGCATCCTCGGGGCCGCGCGCCTTGCCGGGCACCACGTCTTCACTTCCAACATCGCTTCTTGACGAACGTGCTCCCGCCTTATCCACGCTTTTCCCTTCTCGTTTTTACGATGTGGCCGAAGGCCTGCGCCGCCCATGCCTTCTCCCCCGCATTCCCCCGCGCACGCCGCGCCATCTCCACGCCCTCCCGCGCCCCACGCCTCTCCGTCTACGCCCGTTGCCCCGTCGCTCACGGCGTCAGCGGCTGCGCCGACCCCGTCGCCTGCGCATCGACCAGCGCATTCTGCGCCGTCGCTGCATCCTGTCCCGCCGTGATTTCCCCACGACGCCCCGATTCCCGCACGACGTCTGATGCCAATGGCAGGGGGCGCGGGGCTCGGGGGAGCCTTCTAGAAAACGCCCTGGGTCTCTGGAAAGGCGTGTACTTTGAGAGGCCGATCCCTGTCAGAGGCCCTACATTCTCATGATGACCACCTCGCGTCGCCGCCCCGGCGCCCTCAGATTTTTGCTTCAACGGTGCCTGGACGCCCCCCGAACCTGCTCGATGGACTTCCGAAGATCTCCAGGAAGGGGCGGGCGAAGGAGAGGGAGAGAAGTTTTAAGGCAAGGGATTCGGGGGCTCCGACAAGGGGAGGGCTTACTCGAGCCCAGCCTTTTCTCTGCTCGATTGTCCCCCGAACCGGCCCAGAGCAGGGCCCGAATAAGCCCCCAAGGAGCATCCCAAAGAAGCCCCGACCAAGCCCACAGGTGGTCCCTCAAGCCCCTTTGAGCGTAGGTGGTTTCGAGAGATTCCTTTGGCAACCGCCCGCTTCCCCTTCGGGGACGAGTTTAGCCCTTCGGCGCGCGTCGCGAGGGATGGGGCGCCTAAGAGGACCCAACATGGCTCCAAGAGGGCCTCAGCGAGCCCAAGATGAACCCCAACCCGGGATGACGTCCAAGATGGCTCAAGGAAGCACAACATGGCTCAAGATAGCAAACGAAAGCCTCCGAAAGACTCCAAGATCGCATGACGACAGGCTTCTGCGACCTCAAGACGGCTCCAAGAAGGCCCAAGATTCCTCCTGAACTCCGTCGGCCTGTGAAATGATGCCACCTCAGCAACCCCTTCCCCCAGGAGCCCAGTACGAGGGATTTGGGAGAGGGAGGTCTCCCCCCAACCGGCGCAACGCACAAACAATCCATGCATTTATTTGGGGTCGGCGGCAGAGGCGGCAGCCTTTAAATATATACACACACATAAGAGGAACAGGAGGGAGGAGAAGATGGAGGGAAGAGGGAGGGAAATCAGAGAGAGGAATATGAGGAGGGGGAGATGGATAGGGGGTGGATGAGGAACGAGGATTGGGAGGAGGTATGGCGAAAAGCGACCATGGACAAGAAGGCCTTGGCGACGAATCAATACAAGATTTGATGACAAAGCTACGGTTCCTGCCGGCGTGGACAACGCTCGTGGCCCTCCGTACGTCGAGGCCAGCTCGTGTGTAAAACTTAGGGGCCCGCGTTCTTTTTTCTGGCGCTTCCCCCAACATTCCCCACTCATGCCTCCCTCATCCGCTCCTCCAAATCCTCCAGCTGCTTCTGCTCCTGGTTCTCCTCCGAGCAAAGTCTGGGCTTAAAGCACTCAAAGGCGCACCTGGACATCTGCTTCCTCCGCAACCTCGCTGACGAGATCCAGGTGCAACTCGTGGCCTCGACCGGGCGTTGTTTCTGATTCCAACGAAAATGTTCGATGAGAAACGATTCTGTGATTGAGCTGCCAACGATTGCGAGCAATGATTGCAAAACTGGATTCACGCCAAGGGGACATGCCGCAACCTGAGGCAGGAGATGTACCCATGAAAATGGGAGGAGCCCTGACAACCAAACGCCCTAACACATAGGCACTCGATGGAATAAGTCGTGAGAGACGGAGAAACTCTTTCCGTACAAAGGTTTAGGCCGGCGAATTCAACCCTGTCGGGTGGTTAAAGGGCCACAGGAGCAATCCGCACCACGCGCCTGTGCACTGTTTGTCCCACGTGAAATCCGCTACACTTCCAGGAGCAATCTCCGTTTATCAGGGTTGTGCGTGGGAAGCGCCGAACCGCATCATGTAGGTCACGTGCACATGTCCAGATACATCTGCGCAGCGAGGACCGCGCGCCAGAAGAGCGCACCATAGAGACAAATTGAGGACAGACCGAGGGCTGGATAGACAGCGCACGCAATGGGAGGGGCGAACAAGTGGTGGGCAGGAGAGCCGAGAGAGGTGAGAGGGATTTGGCAACAAAACCTGGGCAGGACGGAGATAGACAGCATAATGATCGCCAGAAGACGCGCAAGGAATGCAGAGGGGCAAGCGAAGGAACTTAAAACATGAGCGACGACAGACTAGCAGCTCCCTGAAACCAGTGCGGGCAAGGCATAGACACAATGTCGTGACCTAGGCCCGACCAGGCATCGGCCGAACGATCGTGGGCTTGGAACGATGCTACTGCATTTGACACACCCATTCGTTGCGAGGGCGCCCAACCTTTTGCGAGCACCACTGTGAGGGGTATGCGTATTCTTGGCCTCTCTAAATGAAGACGGAGCCTGCTGAATAGCCACTTGGGAGGCCCTATGTGCGCCCCCTGGAGGCCCCTCGAAGCTGCGAGAGGCCCCCTAAATGCAGCCGGAGCCTTCAAACTGATTAAATGCCTGCCTCAAAGAATAATCACGGTCTCAAACAAACTCAACACAAATCCAAAGCAATCGATCCGTGTGTTGGCCGAGCAAGTGCTGCTTCACACAGAAGGTGCCACCTTCACGATACAGCTGCCGCAATGGAAATCATATCGATGACACATGCAAGGTCAAACGAAACCAATGGGGGGAAAACCTCGGACCGGGACCAATCGAGGATCTCTGAGATCCGGCAGTTCTGGAATACGTATCGGGCACCGCGGCTGTTCCAGAGCGCTCCATAATGTCCTGAAAGCGTTCTGGAACGCTCTGGAGCTCTTTATCCACGTCATGGCCCCACCGGACAAAAGGGCAATGGATAGGTATATGTATGTGTATATATATATACATATATATATATAAACACATATATATACTATACATATATATATATATATACATATATATATATATATACAATGGCCTGGCTCGGGGGGTTCCCCGTTCGAGCCGGCGCCGAAGACGCTATTTGAAGACTCTATTCACCCAAGGAACTGCGGTGACGTCTCTATTCTGCTGACGCCTGGTGAATCTCGTGAAGCCTCTATTCGGCCTGAAGCCTCTATTCCCGTGACGCTCGTTGAAGCTCGTGAAGCCTCTATTCGGCCTGAAGCCTCTATTCCCCTGACGCCCACTGAAGCTCGTGAAGCCTCTATTCTGCCTGAAGCCTCTATACCCCTGACGCCGCTGAAGCTCGTGAAGCCTCTACTCCCCCGACGCCCATTGAAGCTCGTGAAGCCTCCATTCGGCCTGAAGCCTCTGTCCCTCTGACGCCATGTGAAACTCGTGAAGCCTCCATTCGGCCTGAAGCCTCTATTTCCTTGACGCCTACTGAAGCTCGTGAAGCCTCTATTCGGCCTGAAGACTCCATTCCCCTGACGCCAGGTGAAGCTCGTGAAGCCTCTATTCGGCCTGAAGCCTCTATACCCCTGACGCCAACTGAAGCTTGTGAAGCCTCTATTCGGCCTGAAGCCTCTATTCCCCTGACGCCCGGTGAAGCTCGTGAAGCCTCTATACGGCCTGCAGCCTCTATTCCCGTGACCCCTATTGAAGCTCGTGAAACCTCTATTCGGCCTGAAGCCTCTATTCTCCTGACGCCCGGTAAGCTCGTGAAGCCTCTTTTCGGCCTGAAGCCTCTATTCCTCGGACGCCCGGTGAAGCTCGTGACGCCTCTTTTCGGCCTGAAGCCTCTATTCCCCTGACGCCCATTGAAGCTCGTGAAGCCTCTATTCGGCCTGAAGCCTCTATTTCCCTGATGCCCAATGAAGCTCGTGACGCACAGCAAAAGGGCATGTCTAGCACCAGGGATTCTGCTTTGATTAAATTGGGGAGGGGTCTTGCCTAGCAGAAAGTGCCGCACAGCAAAGGGGCTCACCTTGGCGAGGGTGCTGCACAGCAAAAGGGCACATCTAGCATCAAGGATTCTTTTTGAATCAACTTGGGGAGGGGTCTTGCCTAGCAGAAGGTGCCGCACAAAGGATGGGGCACGCCTAGCACCAAGGATTCTTTTAAATCAACTTGGGGAGGGTCTTGCCGAGCAGAAGGTGCCGCACAGCAAAGGGGCACGTCTAGCACAAAGGATTCATGTTTAATAAACTTGGCGAGGGGTCTTGCCTAGCAAAAGGTGCTGCACAGCAAAAGGGCATGTCTAGCACCAGGGATTCTGGTTTAACTAACCTGGGAAAGGGGTCTTGCCTAGCAGAAGGTGCCGCACAACAGAGGGGCTCACCTTGGAGAGGGTCCCGCACAGCAAAGGGGCACATCTAGCACCAAGGATTCTGTTTTAATCAACTTGGGGAGGGGTCTTGCCTAGCAGAAGGCGCCGCACAACAGATGGGGCACGCGTAGCACCATGATTCTGTTTGAATCAATGTGGGGAGGGGCATTGCTTAACAAAGGGTACCACACAGCAGATGGGGCACGCCTAGCACCAAGAACTCTTTTTTAATCAGCTTGGGGATGGGTCTTGCCTAGCAACTCTTTTTCCCCAATCAGAGCTTGCCTCTGTAGGGGTCCTAGTGGATTCATATGGTTAGGTTAGGTTTGTCGCCGATTTTCGCGGCACGCCCGGGTGCCCGGGGGCCCGGGGGTGCCCGGGGGTGCCCGGGTGCCCGCGGGTGCCTGGGCGTGCCTGGGGGTGCCCTGGTGCCCGGGTGCCCTGGTGCCCGGGTGTCTGGGCGTGCCCTGGGGGGCCTGGGGTTCCCTGGGGGTGCCCTATAGCACCATAGCCCTATAGCCCAATAGCCTTATAGCCCTACAACTCTATCGACCTATAGCTCTATAGCCCTATAGCTCAATTTTCATATGGTTAGGTTGGGTTTGCCGTCGATTTTCGCTGCACGCACGCTCGGGTGCCCGGGTGCCCGGGGGTGCCCGCGGGTGCCCAGGTGCCCGGGCGTGCCCGGGGGTGCCTGGGGGTGCCCGGGGGTGCCCTATAGCTCTATAGCCCTATAGCCCAATAGCCCTATAGCCCTACAATTCTATAGCCCTATAGCTCTATAGCCCTATAGCTCAATAGCCCTATAGCCCCCTAGCCCTGATTGGGTTTTTTCTCCGGTATCATTTAATCAACTTGGGGAGGGGTCTTGCCTAGCAAAAGATGCCGCATAGCAGATGGGGCACGTCTAGCACCAAGGATTCTTTTTCCCCAATCAGAGCTTGCCTCTGTAGGGGTCCTAGCGGATTAAAGGGTCAGGTGAGGTTTGTCGCCAATTTCGGTGGCCGGGCCCGGGTGCCCGGGTGCCCGGGTGCCCGGCGGTGCCTGGGTGCCCGGGTGGCCGGTGAGGTGCGTGGCCGATTTCGGTGGCCGGGCCCAGGTGCCCGGGTGCCCTGGTGCCTGGGGGTGCCTGGGGGTGCCCTGGGGTGCCCAATAGCCCAATAGCCCAATAGCCCAGAAGCCCTATAGCCCTATAGCCCTACAGCCGTATAGCACTATGGCCCTATAGCCCTAGAGCCCTAGAGCCCTATAGCTCTAGACCCCTATAGCCCTATGGCCCTATAGCTCTATAGCCCTATAGCCCTAAGGTTCTATAGCCCCTACAGCCCAATAACCCAATAGCCGTATATCACTATACCCCTATAGCCATGTAGCCCATATAGCCCCATTGCCCCAACAAACGTCAGATGTTTTTTTTCTCCGGTATCATTTAATCAACTTGGGGAGGGGTCTTGCCCAGCAGAGGGTGCCACACAGCAGATGGGGCACGACTAGCACCAAGGATTCTTTTTAAATCAACTTGGGGAGGGGTCTTGCCTAGCAAAAGGTGCCGCACAACACATGGGGCACGCCTAGCACCAGGGATTCTTGTTTAATCAACTTGGGGGTGGGTCTTGCCTAGCAGAGGGTGCCGCACAGCAGATGGGGCACGTCTAGCACCAATAATTATTTTCAATCAACTTGGGGATGAGTCTTGCCGAGCAGAAGATGCCGCACAGCAGGTGGGGCACGCCTAGCACCAGGGATTCTTGTTCAATCAACTTGGGGAGGGGTCTCTATCAGAGGGTGCCGCACAGCAAAGGGGCACATCTAGCAACAATGATTCTTTTTAAATCAACTTGGGGAGGGGCATTGCTTAACAAAGGGTGCCACACAGCGGATGGGGCACGTCTAGCACCAAGGAATCTTGTTTAATCAACTTGGGGGTGGGTCTTGCCTAGCAGAGGGTGCCGCACAGCAGATGGGGCACGTCTAGCACCAATAATTATTTTCAATCAACTTGGGGATGAGTCTTGCCGAGCAGAAGATGCCGCACAGCAGGTGGGGCACGCCTAGCACCAGGGATTCTTGTTCAATCAACTTGGGGAGGGGTCTCTATCAGAGGGTGCCGCACAGCAAAGGGGCACATCTAGCAACAATGATTCTTTTTAAATCAACTTGGGGAAGGGCATTGCTTAACAAAGGGTGCCACACAGCGGATGGGGCACGTCTAGCACCAAGGAATCTGGTTTAATCAAATTGGGGAGGGGTCTTGCCTAGCAGGAGGTGC